GTGACGGCACATGGACGTCTACAAGCCTTGACCCAGAACATGGTGTAAATCCTGGTAAAAAATTTCCTGAGTTTTCATTTCCAGTTTTTCCACAATTTCCCTCAGGGTTGATTTTTGGTTTCGCTCGCGTGCTGATGGGAACATCATCGTCTCAACGGTGGTGACGCTTTGCTACGTCCTCGCTTGTGCATCAGCCAGTGTAAGATAGCTTCGCTCCGCCGTTTTAGTGATGCATGTTTCACATTTTTCAGTCACTCACTCTGTGGTTGCATCATCACTATAACAAGCATCTATCTCCTACAGTGGCATCCTCTATGGTTTCCTTAGCTGCTGGTGTTTTCCTCCCTCCCACTTCAAACCCTCTCATGTTTTTCATATGGACGGGTTCATTCGTTGGTGAGCTATGAATGATAATTTTTTTTGTGATTTTTCGTTTTTCAGGTATGAGTTCCTCAGCGGCCTGTCCCGGATCATACAGTTTGATCATCATAAAAGAAGCGCCAATTTTGTCGGAAAATATTTCTATATTTCTCACTGGTCTCTGGAGTGGTATACTTTTGATCGGTTTCTGGTGGTGGACAGGGGAAGTTGGAGGGCGTTATGGTTTTATAGCGTTCGTTGGTTGTAGGGAAATTTTGGTAAAAAAGGGAAATTTTATGTTTTTTTCAGGTTTTTCTGTACATCTTTTTACGAAGTTAATTCGGAAAGGTAGGCGAAATTCGGACGAAGATTCTGAGGAAACTGAGAAAGAGACTTCTGAATATGATGATGATGATGATAATGATTACTGCGAGCCAACGGTTACCGCCCGTGTTTGAGTCGTGTTTCGGACAAATTTTGTATCATTGTTGTTGGTCGCGTATTGCATCATGTGCATGCGTGCAATTTTTTGTAAGCACTGAAGTCGATGAAAAGTTGTACTTTTTCATTGATTGTCGTTTTTACACTGGAAGCGGTAGTAGCAGGTGACCTGTACCTCCACTGTGTTTATGAAACGCCTTGTGTTATGGTGAGTAAACTGAATGAGTATTATATGTGCTCAAAATGGATGATAATTCTAAAGAGATAATAGAATTTCACCCGTGATATGCAAAATACTAGCGAAAACTCATTCTACATTTCACAAGCGAAAAACGCGTAAACACATATGGTGTTTTTCGCTTATAACGTGAG